GGGAAGTAATATTGGTTGTGGTTCATAGGAGGCTAATGATGTTGGAGATGAAACCACATGAGAAATGTCTTCTACAGTGATCACCATATGCCTGGCTTGCACGGCTCCACAAGGTTCAGAAGCCCTCAGATTAAGCGTTAGAGGACCGTCGTTATCTGGATCTTTCGGGTATCATCTTAATATATATATATATATATATATATATACATATATTATTTTTATTTTTATTTTTATTTTTTAATATTTAAAGTAATACCCCAGGTGTAGCATTTGCCCCAAACTTTTATTAATACTTAAGTGAATTGATATATAATAGTGTAATAAAAATACATACTGTATATATTCTACTAGAAGTATATTAAAATTAAAAATCATATAATAGAACTTGCATCTAACTAATTACTCTATCTTTTAATTAATTATTTTTTTTTACTAATCAAATTAACAACAAATTAATTACTATTAATATGAATATTAATATACAAAATATTAGTCAAATAAAATCTAACTACTACTGGTTAGCTAATACTCTTTAAATTTTGAAGTACAAAAAAATTAACCCAAATAAATTTTTAAAGATTCTTAAACTTGCAATATGTACTAATTTCACTCTGGGTAATCTTATAATAGTTTGAAATAAATATCTAAAAATATTTAAAGTTTTATTTATAATTTATATATATTTTTATTAATTATATACTTTGTACAATATTAAAACATATAATAATATATATATACTGTATTTTTATAAATATTTAAAAGCTTTTATATTATTGTCAATTTTGTTTGTATTGTTAATATTTTTTGATAAATCACATATTTTTTAAAAAAGGTTTTCTTTTTTTATATATTTTTATTATATAATTAAACCTTATAAATATACTCTCTATAAATACACACTCTCTTTAAATATATATTTAAGTGCTAGCTTAAATATATCTTAATCTCTATAAATATACTTTTTTCAATTATTCTCCATATACATGTTATTAAAATATAATCTTAAAGACATGCATTTAAAGAGGTCTGACTATAGTTAATATTTTTTTGAGAAATTTTAAACTTTTTTAGTTAGACAAATAATAGTTTTACTTAAATTTTTGTACAATTTTATAATAATTTATTTTTATAGCAGAATTTTGTTAATAAAAATAAGTAGCAGTTTGTTTAATAATAAAAATTTAGTTTTTTTATAATCTTTTTTAGCTACATAGTTTTTAAATTTTACTTAATCAATTTAAGACAACTCTTTGCTATTATAATAAATATATAAATCTATATTAAGGTATTCAATATATTTTTTTAGATTTAATTATTAGCTCAAGCTTAATACAAACAGGTTTTTCTAAATACATACTTAATTAAAACTACATTTTAATAATATGTATATAGAAAATAATTAAAAAAAGTGTATTTATTAAGGTCAAGTATATATAGTCAGACCTTTGTAAGTATATAATTTATAAGTACATACTCTTTTAAATATATATTTAAGTACTAGCCCAAATATATATTTAACATCTATAAATACACTTTTTTTAATTATTCTCTATATGTATATTATTAATAGTTATATGATATATTGTGCAGATTACATGTATAAAAATTTTAATATAGAGTTAAATAATTGATGCATCTAATAAAATTTAAAAAATTTTTGCTTTTTTGGCTTATTTAATAATAAAAAATTTGTCAATTTAATTTTTAAATATAAATAAATATATATATTGCACTTTACGATAAGCTAATTTATTGCTATATATATAAATTATAATTTGTAAATCTGTATAATATATAGTTATATATATATAAATTATTTGATTAGAGTTAGAGTTAGGGTTAGATATTAGCAATTAGGGTAGAGCTTAGTATATACTAGTGCTTAGCACAATCAAACAAAAATTTGACAGTCAAATACTTATTAATACTTGTGATTAAATCAGATATTAAATAATTGCAAATTAATTAATAGTATATATTTAGCTTTGGTTAATCTGCAAATATTTGACATCTGATTTAAACATAAGTATTAACAAGTATTTAACTATCAAATTTTTGTTTGATTGTGCTAAGCACTAGTATATACCAAATTTTGCAAGAATTTTTTTTGTTATAATTTAAAAAGTAGTTTTATAAACAAAATTTTAAAATATAACAAAATTTTAAAAATTTTCTTTATTTTTGTTATACAAAAAAAATTTACATATTTTATCTGATCTTTAAATATAATTGGTCATTTATCAAAATATAATATATATATACATTGCAGAGTGTAATATCTAATTAACTTCTTTAAATATTATTTGCAATTTTTTTAGTATTTATCAACTCTTCCTGATGATTCCTTGAACCAACTTTTCAAAACTAAAATTTTTAACAAAAACAGTAAAACTATGCTAGAAAAGAAGAATATAAGACTAATGAGAACTATAAACTAGCATCTATTATTTAGAGATAGTTCTTATATGCTATCTGCTAATAGGTTTGAAGCTTATCACTCTTTGTGGTGGCAGCACTTGTTATTTAGAAGTAGTTCTTATATACTACTTGCTAACAAGTTCAGAGTTTATTACTTACTGAAAAGAATATTAGCAGTGTGCTCAGATCTACTTGTCTTATTATTTTTGATGAAAAATATACTCTCTTTTAAGAAAAGTACAAAGTCTATACTTATTACTATTACTTATTTGTGCTTACAACAAAATTTTTAAAAAAAGTAAACAAAACAGCTTATCTCTATTAAAAGATTAATATTGTTTACTCCTTTTAAATTTGGTTAATCTAGTAGATTGTAACTACATATTTTGTTTGATAACAAACACATTACTACTCCATGTGACAAAGTCTGTTAACAAGTCTATAGTTAAAGGTATATTCAGAAATAGTTATATAGTTAGAAAGAAACTAATATATTAAAGCAAAGTCTTACAGCAGGGATATACAGATGTTGTATTTGTTATATAATTTTTAAACCTTGTACAGATTAGAATAGTACTATTAGGTTTCTTTTCTTTTTTGTTTTTTCTTTTTTGAAATCTGTATTTTTTTTTTTTTATTTGTTTTTTTTTCTTTTTTTTGTTATGCTCATTAAAGAACTTTTTATTTTTTCCCCTTTTGTCTTGTGCTTTTTGAGAAAAAGGAAGAATTAAAAGAGAAATTAGTCCTAATATTTTAGTTTTTAAAAGCTAGTACATAATCTAAATCTTCCATGAATCAGTATAATAGTCATATCTAGGTACCAATAGGTAACCGGGTGAGGTTGGGCTTTTAGTTGCAGCTATGTTGTTTTTTCAATCATAATTGTCTTTTGAGATTAATTTTTAAACTGTATATAAGTCTTGGCAAGATCATTAAAGAATAAAAAAAAATTTTTTTTAATATTTGAAGATTCTTTTTATAAAATTTCAAGGGCAGTTTATAATAAAATAGAAAATAATCTTGATTATGAAGTTAGCCTATTTTTTTTATGATTTTTACTATTTGTTTATAAGTATATATATTATTTCACCAAAATAGTAGTTAGATCTGTTAATTTAGTTAATAGTTCTAATTGCTTATTTTGGTAAAATAATATACATGATTTATAAACAAATAGTAAAAATTATAAAAAATAGGCCAACTTTGTAATCAAGATTATTTTTTATTTTATTAAAAACTGCTTTTGAAATATGCTAAAAAAATTTTAAATAATATTTAAAAATCAAATTGACAAATTTTTTACTATTTAATAAGTCAAAAAAGCAAAAATTTTCAAATTTTAGATATAAAATTTAGGTGTATTAATTATTTGAACCCATGTTACATATACATGATCTACATGATATACTATATAGCTGTTAAAATGTAATTCCAAGGGCATGCACTTAGAGAGATCTGACTATATAGTCAAATCTCTCTAAGTGCATACTATTGGGACTACATTTTAATCATTTTAATAAGAGAATAATTAAAAAAAGTGCATTTATAGAGATTAAGTATATATTTGGGCCAGCACTTAAGCATGTATTTAAAAGGAATGTGTACATATAGAGGGTACACTTACATAGGTCTGACTGTATTTGAGCCAGCACTTAAGCATGTATTTAAAGAGGATGTGCACTTATAGAGGGTGCATTTACAAAGATCTGACTGTATAATTTTTTATTCTATAAAAAATATTAGATACAGTGCGGGACAGCAAGAGACATCCAATCTATACATATAGGCGCCAATTTTTGGCGCTTATATAATTAATTCTGATTGGCTAATTTTTGAGTAATTGATTTTGATTGGTTAAAAACCTATATATGTTTTCTTTTTTTTAATATTAAATGCCAATTTTTTGAACTCATATAAACTTTAATCTCTTATAACTTTTTTAAACCAAAGAATAAAAAAAAATCCTCTGACAGAAATATAGTTTATCTAAAAATCTATCAATTTGTCAGAGGGTTTTTTGATTTAGCTTGTTTTAAAAAAGTTATAACACTTTAAAGTTTTATTAATAGATGTTGGATGTCTCTTGCTGTCCCGCACTGTAGAAATGTTTTTTTGGAGTGGAGTAGATAAATCAGGCAAGTTGAACAAATCGATTTGCATTATTATTATTATTGTTGTTGTTTTTTTATTTTTTTCTATGAAGTGAAATATGAAGCGAAATATAAAATGAATTATGAAGCAAAATATAAAGCAAAGTATGAAGTGAAATATAAAGCAAAGTATAAAGCGAAGTATGAAATGAAATATAAAGCAAAGTATGAAATGAAATATAAAGCAAAGTATAAAGCGAAATGAAGCGAAGTATGAAACGAAATATAAAAAAATATAAACGAAATATGAGGTAGTTTACTTAATTGATCGATGATATCATTTTGGGTTGATTTCGGACAATCACATGATCATCCGGAGTACAACCTGATCGATTTGCTGAAAACTTTTGAGATGACGAAATTTTGGCAATTCATAATCATGTGTTGTGGGCCCAAACCTTTGTGTTTTATCAAAAAAATTTCATAACAAAATTTTGTATATGAACGTATTCTTTGCTACTTAGGCCTAATTATGATTAATTATTATTTGAAGTTCTATAATTGTTTTTTCGTTACCCCTGATCTTGAAATTTGATTGGTCAAACGTCACATAAAATTATAAAAATTGATTTTCATTATTTTTGTTATTTTTGTTTTTCACTTCTCACACTCTCCACACATAGTAATGACAGTCAAGTTTTTCGAGCAGCTTTCTGGCAATTTAAATGAACTTCTTGAAAATAGTGAAGAATACAATGTCATTATTATAGTTGGTCAAGAGCCAAATATTCATGCATTTAAAGCACACTCAAACATCCTAAGTTCTCGATGTTTATATTTTAAAAACAAATTATCTGCAATCACTTATGATGAAAATAATATGAAAATAATAAAGCAAGCTAATGTTCCCATTGAAGTATTCGATATTATCATTAAGTATGTATAAATAAATAAATAAATATAATATGCTAATATTTACGAAAAGTAAATTTCAAAAATCTTTATAAATATTTTATATACAAATTATAGGTATATTTATAATGGTATCATTTCGTTAGAAACAATTGATACTTCAATTATTTTTGAACTTTTAATCGTATCATGTGAATTTGGTCTTGAAGAATTGATTAAGCATATTCAATTCTTTCTAATTGAGAATGAAACTTCCTGGCTGCGCCTCAACTTTTCTCGTGTTTATCAAGCTAGTCTTAAAAATAATCATTTAAAAAACTTACAACAATTTTACGAAAATATAATTGATAAACATCCAAACATTATTTTTGATTCTGATGACTTTCTTAGTCTTTCAGAATCTATCTTAATTTTTATCTTAAAGCTCGATAATCTACAAATGGATGAAGGGAAAATTTGGGATTACATTATTAAATGGGGAATTGCTCAAAATCCTTTTCTACCTCCCAACCCCGATCAATGGTTTGATGAGCACTTTTTAGCTTTAAAAAACTCTCTTCAAAATTGTCTTCCTTTAATTCGTTATTTTCAAATACCTGGTGAAGATATTTTTGATAAAGTTCGACCTTATCGGAAAATACTTGATCCAACTTTGTGGGAAGATATTATGCTAAAATTTATGGCTCCAAATAAGATTATTACTTCACATGTTTTACCTCCTCGCATTAATTTACCCACGATTTCATCACCCCCAGAAAATACATCAGAATTAAGACAAAGTGGTGAAGCTGTAGATTTAATGGATATTGAACCTAATGATGCGTTTACATTGAATAATCGTGGATTTATTTATTTAAAGATGAAAAAATATAATGAACCATCTACAAATTTAAACAAATCATTAGAAATTAAACCGGATGAAGAATTTGCATTAAGAATTTGTGGTGTCACTTATCGTATGGAAGAACGTCTTTTTTTTTTGTCTATTAAGGTAATTATATGCAGAAATTATGCCAATTAATAATAAATTTATATTATTTATAATATTTTAAACTTATTCTCAAATTCCACCATTACTACATTAGATTGTGACTCCAGATATCTTTGAACGTCATCAAGGGTTTGATCTCGCAAATTTTGACAATTCAAAATATCCACTATCTGAAATTCCACATTTTAAGGTCTTAAAAAGCGAAACATATGGGGCTTTCAAGGCTATGGTCGCTCAAAATTTTGGGATTCTAGCAGAGCAAATAAGATTCTGGATTTTTATAATACGCGAAAATGATACTGTCAGGCTAGATACTCCATTAACTGACGCTTTTCTTGCAATGAGTAAATCTTATCTAAAATATGATTCTTTTTTTTTTAATCATTTCAGATTTCATAATAAATTTTAATTTTTTGTAAAAATAGCAATGGAAAAAGTTCACGAGAAAATTTCTGTAAAACAAAATAATTTAAGATTGTTTATGGAAGTGACAGATAGACCCTTTGACGACAATGTAGTACTTAGTATTTAAAAAATTTATTATATACTACATCTTATTAAACATGTTTTTACTAATTATTTCAATTGTTACTTATTTGATACACAGTTATGGTTTCCACTGATAGAAAGGAACTCATATAATAACCGTATTATGATTTTTGTCAAGTATTTTGATCCCGATACGCAATCTATAGAGTATGTGAATTTAAATTTTGTTTTATTAATCCATTAGATGAGTATTAATCTTTACGTCTATGTAAAAAGAGGACTCGGTAATTTATATGTTAAAAAGTTCGATAAAGTTGGTGATATTATGTTAACGCTTTGCGAGAAAAAGAAACTTACATCACACACATCCTTGAAAATATACGAAGTAAGATTTATTTTTCTATATATTTGTTTTTGTTCAATTAATTGAAACTGTCAATATATTTAATAAAATATAGGAATTATGTCATAAATATATTAAAGTGATGAATTCCAAATTGACTTTTCATGATTCTAAGATACAAAATGGTGATATAATTTGCTTCCAAAAGGCTTTAACGGAAGAAGAGTAAGGTTTTTATTTACATGTATTTATCTTGATTTTAATTCAATGTGCTTTATAAGTGGATTTTTTTCTGCCTCGATTTAGATCACAGAAATATATTGCTGCGAGTCGTATTCATGATATTCCTACATTCTACAAATCAATCGTCGCTAAATTTGAAGGCAAGGATCAAATCCTAAATTTGTATTAGTTTTAAAAAAATATACATGATTTACGTTGAAGTTATTTTTTCACATTATTATAATGGTTTCTTTTATTTCTTTATATTTTCTATAGATTATTAAATACGTTGCTGTTTTTTTAAGTATGTCCAATATCCGATAAACACAAAGCTGTAATTAAAAGAACAATGATTCCGATATTACGTATTAGAAATACTTCAAACAATGCATCTGCTTAATTCATTCATTGAATTAACTAAAAAGAAAATTCAATAGGAAGATTATTAATAAATGCTAATTGCATTATATCAAAATAAATTACAAAATTATATACTCTCATCTATTTTAGTAGTTTTTTTGTAATAAATAAATGCAGTATATTCATCACTTTAATTATAACAGTGACATTAATTTTTTTTTTTTTTTCAATTTTACTTGATGAATTTTTTTTTTTTTTGTAATTTTAAATAAAGAAATTTTTGATAATAGTAGTTAATTTTAAATTTTATAGCAATATCGAAGCAAGATAAAAATTTTTATCAAATTTAACTAAATATTTTTAAAATATTTCTTGAAAATACCGTTTCTGATGGGATGAGGAAAAAACATCGATTTACACACTGTTCTGATAGGGTTTAAAAACTACACTACCTATGAATCTAAAGCTATTGCGTAAAAATTTGACAGTTACTATTAGCGCCCAACCCAATTATAATATCAGCACGTAATAAAAAAAAAAAAAAAAAAATCAAAAAATTAGAAAAATTAGCATGGAAATTAGCGTATAACCATTTAATAAAATTTTTTTTTCGATCCAAATATTTGTGTTAGTGTTTCGGGCGAAACCCGAATTTGCAGATCATTTGCAGATCAATTGGGCGAAACTAATTTCGGAGGGTTTCGGACTAGTGATTGGACCCGGATAGGTGCCACCCGGGTCACCCGCGGGTGGACGGGTGACCCGGGTGGAATTTTGGCCACCC